GTCTTTAATATCAATACTTACAAAGGGAATTTTGTGGGGATTTTTTCTTTGTTGACCTGTTAAGGCAGGCTAGTGTTTGTCAGCTTGTAAGGGGAAAAATAACAAATAGTTCCAAGTGTAATCCTCCATTGTGACATTATAAAATGGACAGTAATGTAACTACTTTTTAATAAATTTTCAGAAGACCAGAAACCCTGGTCTGCTAGCAGCGTGAATCTTTGTTCAGAGTCAGTCTTACTATGATAATTCAGCTTGAATAAGAACAAAGGTTCTCTTTATAATTGCTTGGGGGGTTTTATACCTGCTGATCTGACATTTTAATTCTGCTATGCCTCTCCTCAATCTATTAGAAATACAGCTGCACCTACAGCACTATAGAGAAAATATAATTGCTATAAACTACATTTTCTTAAGTATGCTTACATAACCATGAATGCACAATTTTTACATTATTACATTAGGTAATTATAATGCATGAAAGTTCCAGTCCCCTGACCTATTCTCATCCATATTGTCAAATATGTAATCAGTTTAAGATACTTTAGTGTGTTTTCCTTGATATAAACTGGAAGCTGAAGCGATCATGCTGTCAATTAGGGCTTAAGTCAGTCTTTCCCAATACTAGAAGAGACATTAGTATGAATATTGCATTCATGCTTTCGACTGTGCTCCTTTAGTGCCACCTGGTGACTTGCTTGTAAGGAAAAAAAATATTAATGTATTTTCACCTGGAGAAGTAGCTGTGATAATTTAATCTAAAACATTTACTTGAGCAAGATCATACCAGGCGACATTTGATTTAGAAGTGCCCCAATCTCAGCTAGCTTAAGAGGATTTCTTTGAATATAATTTCCAAACCTAAACTGATCCAATACTTAATATCCAAAATTGTCATGAGTGTGTGAGGTAAACATTGCACTTGGTTAGAAATTCGGTGTTCATGCACAGAATTAATCAAGAGGTCACTGATGATGACATTAATCACTGCATAATTTCTGGTTTGCACCTGTTGAGGTCCATGATTCTTTTGTAAATAGTAATGCCTTTGTAATTCTTGTTCCTAATGAGTTTATATAAAAACCACAGCAGCTATGAAAAAAAATCATGTTATTCTTAGCTAAATGCAAATAAAAAGGCTGAACACCTGATTTCAAATTTTCGGAAATATTTGACTACATCAGGCCTATACCTTAACATCTACAGGAACAGGCTGGGCTCCATATGGCTCCAGTGCTGCTTAGATTATTGTGCATAACATTGCCATACATCCTACACAAACACACACACACACACACATTTCCTATAACTACTCCCCACACACCCAGTTCTTTACTCCTCTGTTAATCCTTTTTATATCATTATGAGTGTGATGTGCATGAATCACAATTTTGGTGCCCAACAAAATTATCCTGCCGTAGGAATCATATTGCACTCTCTTCTGTCACTGTCTCTGGAGGGAAAAATATGCTGGCTTTGAACACAACCAGAATATGCCACTGAGATGTGAGGCAGATGGACTGAAATGCCTTCAGCATCTAAACGAGTGAAAAAGCACAAGTGAACTAAAACTACTTCAAAATTAAAAGATGTCAGTGATTAACCACTTTCATCTCAGGTGTTCTTAATGTGAGGTCAGTATCTCATAATATAAGGTTAATTAGAAAAATAAAGAAAAAATGTCAAGAGAATAAATCATCAGTTCCATTTCTTCTTTTCTAATGTGGATAATGGATTTCAATCTCTTATGAGATGCATGAAATAATACAACTGCATTTATTCAGTTGCACGAGTAAGACAGTTTTAAACATGGATTATAAGAAAAACATAATCAGGTTATAGAGCAAGATAAGTGGAATTTTATTTCAGGTAATTTCTGCCACAAAATATTTCAAGTGCATTCTTTTTTCCATCATTGTTTTAAAAAACTAATATGATTATGTTATGCATATATCTACATTGTAGTATATTGTGGTTTTAAAAGGTATAATAAAGGTAGAGACAGCATTTATGGTTTAATTGTCATTTTTCATTATTTTCATAATTTTCTAAGAAAACTTTCTTTTGGACAGTAATTTTCCATGCTCTGTTGCTTTCTTAAATTTATTCTAAGCATATTTAAGTAATCTGGCAAATTCAAACAGTCCTAATTTTTTGGTAATGTAAGCATGAAAAATGTTCATTTTGTTCTTATTTCAAATGAGTTTTTCCTTTCTATGACATAAGACAGAGAGAAATTTCAAGTATTACTTCTTTGAAAATCCTTACAGAGAAAGGATCAAACGCTGAAGAAAGCAGTGGTAACATTCCTAAACATGCACTCTAGAATACAGGGCAATAGGCTGCTGCTTGTGGTCTGTGGTTTTATTCTCAAAACTCTGTCACTAATCTGCTGACTGACATCAAATAAATCAGTGCTGCTCTTTGAGAGTTTATTGCTGCATATTGAAAAAAAAAAACAAAAGCAACTCTACGTCTCTTGGGAAGTCGAGACCTAATGGCCCAAACCACTGTTTAACAGCTGCTGTTTATGGATATTGGGAGTTTTTTATGTGGATTTTCTTTTTTTCTGAAATATTTCTTTGAAGTTATGCCTGAGTAGGGATGACTATGTTATTATCTGTACGGATTTATGATACTTGGGCTTGTCTACATAAAGATACATCAGTGAAGACCATGCCAACATCAAGCAATCTTTAAGGCTTATTTTAGTGGTTTAGTGTATTTAATTTTTCCATTTTTTTCCCTCCAGCAAAAGATCAAAACAAGGAAAATTATGTGTGCAAAACAGTGAAATGTGTGAATATCAGACATTTGCAACAAAAATTTACAGTGCTGAATTTGACTTGGATGGCTAATTGCTTGAAGATTGTCAAACTGATATAGACCATATGGTTCTTCTCTTTTTCATTAGATGAATATTCTTCTTTATTAACTTTGCCACATCACTTAAACTTTTTTTTCTTTATGAGCTGGACTACTGTAGTATGTGATATAAGGGGTTATTTAGAAAAAGAAATACTTTTAACTTAAAAAAATAAACACGAATATATTTCAAACTCATTTTAACAGTCTATGCGTCTAGATCACATTTCAAAAGGGGATAATAGACGATACCATTCAAATATCTGAGACTTTCAAAAGAAAGATTCAAAAATATGAGAAGTGTTGAATACTTACAAAGATGAAATATTTTAGCACATTTCAACCCCATGCAGCAGAACACAGTAAAAAAGTCAGTGAGTTAGTATTGACTGATTTATCTCTGAAATTAGGAGTGATGTAAGCATTGGAAGGGTAGGATTTACTAGTATGGGTGTATCAGCAGCTGATATAGATGTACTGGCTATGAGACTTATGTTAGTAGACGCACTGGTTTTGTGCTGCTCACTCAGAAATCACTGCAGTGCAGTGAATTTATAAATATTCACTAGGGGCCTCATACTATATCCACTTATGTCAACACAATGTTCCCAGTAACTTCTGAAGTGAAAACTGAAACTCCAAATTTCATAATGAATCTGCAGACAGGAGGATAAAACAGTAAGACTTTAGACACAGAAGCAGAAAAACAAAGCTCAAGGCATAACCTGGGATAAATCATGCTACAGCAGCTGCACACAACCAACCAGGTGGTGATACATAAAAAAGTAGGCATTTGAGAGTATGGTATGTCTTTATGTGATTTCTCTAGGAGTAAATTTGTCCTTGTTGGTTCTGAGGTCATTCCTATGATTAGCAATACATGCTTCCAGTGTGCGGAACATAATGGGCTTTTAAATGTTTTAACTCTTTCGTATGTCTATGGCCTAACATAAAAATTCATTTATTTCAACACAAAGTAATTTATGAGATTCATGTCATTGTCCTTTACCATTTATTCAACCAACAAAAAAAAAGAAAATTCAGCAGGTGACATAAGTGTATAATTTTTTTTTTCAGAATATTTTGTAAAGTCTGTTGTGTAAGGTTTGTGAAATATTACACAAAAATGTAACATTTTTCTTGTTAAAAGCCTTACTCTGGAAACGTAGTTATAGGGATTTGACGGAGCAGAGTTTCCTGTGCAGAGTACATGTGGTCAGTAAACCTTAACATCCTTCCCAAAAAGCGGCCCAACACATTCTCTTTGAAAATATGTGAAAATTGACACAGAAGCAAAGTGGAGTTCAAAAGCATTTCTAGAGAAATAGCAGAGCTCAGTAAAGAATCTATGGACTACTGTTGTCCTATTTTGCTTTTGCTGTGATAACGTTTATGCAAATTTCCTTTCTAAATATAAAATCGGTATTTTTTAAAATCATCCTTTTTCTGTTGAATTTTTATTGCTGATAATAATAATAATAACATTTTACAAGATCTCATCATGGAAAGAAGTTGAAGAATTTTCAGTGCTTTATTGAATGTTCACCAGTATTTCCTTCACAAATTCCCTTAACCTTATACTCTTCTTTATCTCTGAAGCTCGGTACCAGAGTTTACCTTAACAACACGCTCTCCAAGTAGTGATAACTATATCACAGTGTAATTTTTCTGCTCTGAGGTATGCAGCCTTTCATTTCTTATTCCGTTTCTGTTTCCCCTCTAGGGCAGGAAAAGGAAATTTCAACCTAGACTGTTCAACATCATTCAACATTGATGTTACTTGTCCAACAGTCCTCTATACTAGGGAGATCATATGTCAGCTAGAGTTAGCACTTAAAGTTTGTCAATACCCACTTATGTATTTAAAGATCTCTTTCTTCCTTGTCTCTGTATACATTTAAAACACTGGAGTCAAGAACAGTAAGAAAGCACATATAAGAGAGATATTAGTTAAAGAAACTCACATCTTTTTTTCTCCTGGGTAGTTCAAGTAGCCATGAAACTGGAATCATATTGTCCAAAGATTGTCATCCTTTATGGAGGCAAAGCATCTTTTCACTTTGCCTTTACTGTGTGCAGTTTGAATACTCTGTGGTCAACAGCACAAAGAGTAATGAGATCTGTTTCTTTCCAGCTACATGTTGCCTGTGAGCAATCCTGAAGGTTACTGTTTGATTGAAATGGCTGCGGATGGAAATCCTCCTGTACAGCACAGACTCTCTTTCTCACATCAAGCATCTCAGGTCAGTCTGCAAGACATCAAAAAATACCTTTTTGCTTTGAACATTTCATCAACATATGTACTTCATTATTTTCAAATGAAAGGAGTTATTCTAACTAAAAAACTCCTCTTCAGTTATCATTATATGTACTTAGTTTCTCTTTAATAGGTCTTTTCATATCAAACATCCATACTATTTCCATTTATTTCTTAAGTTTACCTACCTCTGAAACTTCTATCTCAGCTGCCCAAAGTCCATGGAAAGGACACTCATGGTGTGAAAGAAAAAATATATAAATAATGTCCTCTACCTAAGGTCATGGTGTTCAAAACAATTAAGATATTGCTAATATTCTGGTTACTTTCTGATATAATATTCTGGTTACTTTCTAGTTTCAAGTCACACTGTCTAGTGGAGGACAGTTATGAACCATTAATAATTTAACCTGGTGTCAGACTCCTTATTATGACTTCATTTCTGAATAGTATTGCAAAAATATCAGTCTCCATTTTGAAACTGGTATCGGAAGACTCATTCTAAATGGTCAAAAGGTAGATTTCCCAAATCTTGGGTTTTTTTCTGTTATTCTTTGCCTCCATGTTATTACCTCTCTTTGTTATGCATTCTTTCGTCACAAGATTATTTCTACATGGTATATTAAAATGTTTTTAGACTTGAGAGTTTAAACTTTGATTGACAGCTTGCTTTATAATTGTGTTCACTAGAAGGCAGGCCAGTTACCTGTAGAGATGCTAATCATGATGTGCAACTCACAGTATGCACTGTTGGTTTGTAACAGAATTTCTTCCCTTGCACGGTATCTATTATGAATGTCATATCCTCATGACTATCGCTTCACAGATCTGCTCCTAATCTCCCAGAGCCCCTACCTTCTTTACAAAGTACACAGTCAGAGAAAGAAAGAAAAAAAGAAATTTCTTATCTCTAAGAGGACTAGCAAATATATGCCCATTACTGGTTGAGCTAATTGTTTTTTGCACTCAGGCTTCAAGGAAAGAAGCATATTTTCAAATTAGTATTTGAAAAGTTAAGCATGAGTATTACATAAGTTATTGATATAATGCTATATTAAGCTGTTGTGTTATTAGCAAGACTTACAGGACTTCTTTCTGTGTAGCTCCTTAAAATATATTCTGGTTAAGTCAGTTAAATTCAGAACATAACCTCTACAGAAATAATGTGTATTATGCTGTACTAGCATGAGTTAGAATATCTAGTACATTATGATAAAATACATTGATGCAAAAAGCTGATCAGAGCCTACTAAAGTTCCGTGGTACACTGAATCTTCCTCCAAGGTAAGTGCTTTTGTAAAAAAGGTCCAATAGTAAAAAAGGTTGTGTTGCAAGAAGAGTATTAAAGACATTTTTCTTTATCACTTAACACAGTTTATAATGCAGTACAATACTTTGATTAATTCTTGAAATAGATTTACAAGCAGAGAGAAAATGTCTGCAAACACTACTTACACATCTTGTCTTTCGCTGCACTGGTTTATAGCTTTGTTTGAAAGGGGATAAAGTCAAGTGACATGAAGTGAATTCAACAAGTGCTCAGCCAACGTCTTGGAATTCTTCTGACATGAAAAATCTGATTTAATTTTATCCATGCTCCAAGAGAAGCAGGTGTTTTTCTCTTTCCCTTCAAAATGAAAGACACTAAGTAGAGGAATATCTGGCAGTATTCACATTCACTGTAACGCCAAATTTCACTTGGAATTGTCAGCAACATAGCTTCAGGACTGACAAAAGCAATACAGGAAATAGCAAAACAAAAATCATACAGATGTGTGAATTCCAGATAAATCAATGTGATGTTTTCCTTCTGTTCCTAGTTCTTTACAGTTGATGTCTGAATACAGTAGTGAAGAACCCCTTCACTATAAATTATCTCCTCACGTTTCACACACACTGTGATATATTTCATATTCCATTGGTTTACTCCTGACTGACTTGAACTGGCTAGGTAGGTTTCACCCTTTTTCTGGATTGATGGTATTGTACAAATAAATACATCATAGCAATACACCTATGAAAAAGTAATTATTTTTTTCAATGCCTAAGAACTGACAAGCATTTAACAAAGAAACTTAAGGATGATGAAACCCCATGTTAGAATTCCAGAAAGCCAGGCATCAGCTTGAGGAGTGGAATAAGCACTAAATGAGTCACAGATCCTTTATGTGTGATAGTCAAGGGTTTGAATCATAAGTCAGGCAACACAGGAATTACCATAGTGATCACTGATCTGATTTGGTCAGTCCTAGTGTGGAAAAAGTTGTGGTTATTTCTCTGGTGCCTTTACAAGAACGTTATAAGCATTTGGAAATTGAAAATTTCCCTTTTTCCCCCTGGACTTCAGTATAGCGGTCTATTTTCTGTCATTCATCAAAACAAACCCTGAAATCTTTTTTCTGTATTGGTCTTAGGGTCCTGTAGGTCCCAGGAACTCAAAAAAATATCTTCAACTCCACAGCTTCTCCTGTGTTTCTGCACCAAATCTCAACCATGAATGCACAACACGTCATATTAGGATGAGGGAAGCCATTTGAAAAACCACGTTTGTTGTGATTAAGGCTGGGAATTCCAATTTTTTTTTCACGGGAAACACATATTTGAAAAATATGAAAATCCATTAAACCACTCTCTCTGTAGGAATTATGTTTTTTAAAAAGAGAATCACATTTTTAGAAAGTATCTCTTTAGCAAATATCATAGTTTTTGTCCATCTTAGACTAATGGCTATCTCCTTTATCAGTAATTATTATTCAGTCATTGTTTACAGTAACATCAAAAATCACATTCTTCTTTGATGATTCTCTTTTTATTTCTGTAGATCACCTTTGGATCAGTCTTCCTTGGAAATGTTCCTGTTCATGAAGAGGTTCATCGATGTGCTGGGCAGATACATGGCTATAAAGGATGCATTAGGGATTTTCAAGTTAACCACAAAGAGTTGTTCATCATAGATGAGGCTCTTGGAGGGAGGAATGTTGAGAACTGCAATGTTCCAATATGTGATTATCATCCATGTCACAATGGTGGAACCTGCACTAGGTAAGAGTTATTTCTTTACTCATCATTTCTTTACTCAGCAATTTGCATTCTATGGTCGGTAGTTTCATTCTTAATGAAAAATTATTATCACTTTCTTTGTGATGAAATAATCACCAACCTTTTGTCTTGATAATTTTAAACAGAAAACGTGAAATCCTCATGTCAGCTAGAGAGATTTTATACTTTATTTGCTTAAAGTAAAAGCGATATAAAATGTAATTACGTTGTCCACACAGCATACATATTGGGTTGATGCCAGAATTTCTCTGCAACCAGTTAGATCAGTTCCACTACAAGACTAAATCGGAACCTTTGTATAGACAACTTAAACAGAAAGCACATAAGATCTCATTCTTCAGCCTAACAACTCAATATTTTACTAGGTCTTGTACCCTCACACATCTTCCTGTTGTGCTCCTGGATTCAAAATGTTTGTCATCATGCTATGAAAACACTAACAAGTGACCTACTTGTTCACCTCCAACACATGTGAAAAAGTATCGTCAAAGAATCTTTGACAGTTCCGGTGCATTGTGCTGAAAGAGGAAATGGAGTCTGAGTGTGAAAGAGACATAAGTTAAACAGAGGATGATGGTTCAGTTGAATTATGGTTCAGTGGGAGAACAGTAACTTCTTAAACCATAGTAACTTGATTATTGTCTAAGGAGGTCAGCATTTGGAAACACATTTGTGTTTAGAATTGATAGAATTTGTGAAGTAGCTGCCAATTTTTTTAAAAATCGTACTTCAGCTTCAAGGCAAATGTGAAACAGAACATAGCCTAAAGTTTTTTTGTTGACTATTGTGTGTTTCTGAGATTAAGGAGGCCTTGAACAAAGTTTTAAGGGGCTTCTCTGCCTCCCTTGACTGATGTGACCACACAAAGAACACAGAACAGGTTTTGATGTCTAGGTCTTGTTTGTTTAAAGCACAAATGAAAGCAAAGCAACTTTGTGAAAACATACGCAATTTGCCTACCAGTCTGGTGAAACTGAGTGTGTACTTGGGAGTAATTAGTCTTTTTCCTCTGTTGGTCCTTACTACATTCATATCTGTACTATATCTCAGCAACCAAGTAATTGACAGGAGTGCTTGGCCTGCCAACTACAGTTATAGAATACTTTTTCATTTAAATTTGGGTCCTGAATAATTCATAACCATTGGGGGTTTTTACTGCCTTTCTGCTTTCCAACTGTTGGCCTGGGCCCTTTTCAGAAATCCTTGTTTTGAAATGGGTCACTTCTGTCCAGAAGAGGCATGGAAGTCTGGGCATGTGCAAACCAGGGATAAGCAGCTCTGTAGTATCATGATTTTCACAATTTTCTACAACAAACGACTGATTTTCTGGGATCATCTCCTCCATACCCAAGAGTGACTTATTCTAATAGTAGGCATCAGTGAATAAGATGTTCCCGATAGAACTCAAATATCAAAAAGAAGCATAAAAGAGGTAGAAGCATGGCCATGTGACTTGGGAAGAATACAGAGAAAATATCCAGCTACACAGATATGGGAAAAGCTGAAGTCCATCTGGAGACTGATCTGGCAAGGGGCATGCAGAGCAAAACTAAATGTTTCTACAAAGATATCAACTGCCAAAGGAAGGTTTGGCAAAATGTACCCTTGCTGCTGAACGTTGCAGGAGTTCTGGTGACAAAGGATTCAGAATAGACTGAAATACTCAGTGCTTTCTTTGCCTCAGTCTTTACTGATAGCTGGCCTTCAGGAATCCTATTCCTCTCCTGTAGGAGAAAGTCTGGAGAAGGCAGACTTGCACCTGGGGAACAAGACTTCAATTTGGGAACTCTTAAATCAACTGGACATATATAAGTCCACGGGACCTGGTAGGATTCACTCATGAGTGCTGAGAGAGCTGTATGATGCCAGAGCAATATTTTAGTCAGTTGTTTCAATTCCATTGCTTAGTGGGGAAAAAAAATCAATACATGTTATTTTTCAGGTGCTTGGCAACTAATTAGTTGGTTTTCTTCTGAAAGACCATGAATTGTTACATGGAAAATATCTCATCCATGTTCTGTAATGAAAATTGGAGCTTATCAACATATACTTCTGAGCATAGGCAGGTGTTTTTTATAAGACACACTGTTTTACTATTGTTTTTAAAAGAGTGTTACTTGCTGTTTCTCGTCAACTGAGTACAAAAATGCTAGGTAATATTCATCCTATTACAATTATTATGTAGAAGAAATGTATTTGCAAGAAAAAAAAATGTTTTCTTTGTAGTTTTGGTAGAAAGAGGCAGCTCCATTAGCACATAGCTGGTGTTCAGATACAAAATATCAAATGCAGCTGGGGCCAGCAACTCCCTGTGTTCTGGTCATTGGCTCCATCAGGTGCTCCCCAGGGTCACATCAGGGCAGGGCCCAGCACCAGGTGGGACACCAGGGCAGACCCAGCCCTTGGGCATTGGACACATTCCTGGGTATAGCAACAGGCTGAGGCTGGGTTGGTTTATCAGTCCACTGGTGGGGGATCAGGATCTAGCCCAGAGAGGGGAACCAGGGCCAGACCCAGCCCTGATTGACCAGGCAGGGCAGTGGTAATGGGAAAGCAAAGGTTCATCATGTGTAATGGTGAATTGGGAAGACAAGCACCATAACTCCAAATGTCTCCTGCTTCCTCCTTCTTACTCCAGCTTGATATACTGAGCATGATGTCATACGCTCTGGAATGTGTGATGGTCAGCTGGGGATCAGCTGTCCTGGCTGTGTCCCTTCCAACTCCTTGTGCAACCCCAGCATGCTTGCTGGTGGGGTGGGGTGAGGAACAGAAAGGCCTTCTCTGTGCAAATGCTGCTCAGCAATAACAAAAACATCCCTGTGTTATCAACACTGTACTCAGCACAAATCCAAATCACAGCCCCATATCAGCCCCTGTGAACAAAATTAACTCTATCCAGGCCAAAGCCAGCAAAGTAGAACAAAAGCCATTCAGTTTCAAGAGCACTTAAACATACACTGTATCAGATGATTAGTTCAGCACAAATCCAAATTTTTCATTCTTTACACAGAAACTATTGTATTAGATTTTAAAATTAAGTAATCTGCTATGTAAGTGCTCTGCTCCTTTAAGAAGCACTTTTCAAGTTCACTAGCTCTTTTACTGCACTTTAAATCTATGCTAATGTAGAATTTCAGGGACTGGTTAATTTTAGAGGGGGGAAAATGACAACTATTCAGAAAATTTAGGGTTTGAGTGTCATATACATATGTTCTACAGAATTCAAGACTCATTGGATTTGGATGTGTTTGAAAAGGGCATGGAAATATTAACCCAGAAGGCTCTTAATATTCTATGCGGCATCCTGATCATATGAGGCAGATGTTGCAAACCAAGCTTAGAGTTAATTAAGAAGACACATCTGTGTGTGGGAAAGAAACTCTCAAAAGTACCTCACCAATGATTTGACAATTATGTCAGCCACTACACCAGTAGTAGTTGATTAATGTTTGTTTTAAATTGTATAAAGACTCAAAAAATGTAAACACCTACAAGTTTAGCTTTTATAGTGTGGAGTACAATCTCAGAGTTAATTGCTCCCACAAACAATCATGTTTCCAGTGTCTCAAACTATTCTTACAGTGATTATTCTTACTGTTGTTATTCCTCATGTATTGATGCAGCAGATGGGTCCATTAATGTTAATCAATTAGCCAAGACTGAAAAATCAAACTCAATTAGCAATGAATTTCAATAGAGAGACACTTATCTCCAGATTTCAACTGCTATGAATGCTGTAATCACCAAAAATATACAAGGAATGTAACTTTTTAATTTTCATCCTCTGGTAATGTAAGAGATGCCTTCCTAGATATGTAGGTCTCATTTGGATAGTACCTTTTCAGCTATAAAAAGGAAAATACGAATTTTAAATCATATTTCAGAAACTATTTTCTGTCTGCTGGGGAATCCTCATAAGCCTTTAAGAGCAGATCACCAAATGAAAAATTCCATCCAAACTTTTTCCTAAAATTCATGTGATAATATTTTGAATGTTTGTTTTTTTTTTTTAATTTTTGTATTTTTTAAGCATTTTTTTGTTAATTTAAAAAAAAAGTTATAGAATGAGTTGTAGGTTAGCTTTCTTGAAAGTAGAAGATAATTTTATGGTTGGACTTGATTGAGTGATAGAATATCATATGATGCAGATGCTGGGGAGACCAGCTGAAGTGACTTAGCAAATTTGTTGATCTGGTTTTAGTATATATCCTAAATATTAATTAAAATAAACAGTAGAAAAATTAATTATGAATATGACTTTTTAGGAGAGAAAAAAAGTAAAGAGATTAAACTCTAGACTTTGGAGATACTGAAATGTTCTTTTCAGTATTTTCTTATATGTCATTTTCCATTTCAAAGAATAGTCATGGTGACCCTTTCCCAGATGTATGCCAAAAATTCTTGTGCTTCCTTGTGCCCATAAGCCAAAACTGCGTGTCATGACAGGTTTCAGCTTCAGGTATTAATCCAAGGATAGGCTTGTATACCTTTATTAATTCTTTTCTCACATTTCTAAAACAGAGCTACAGTTTGTTTCCAGCTTGCAAAATCTGGTTTGTGTATTTGTGAATCTAAAGATAGAACTGTTACCCAAGAAAAAGTAAGTGTCCATTTTCAAACCTAGGAACACTGAAGTGTCTCTGAAAACTAATAACAGTATTGCAGACCAAATTTTTAGAATTGCTCGTGGATTTTCTATCACTGCTTTAGATGTAGGTGTTTCTGGGAAAGAAAGGTACCAGCTAGTCAGAATTAATCATATGTCAAGAAACTTTTTATGGATCTGTTTTATAAACTAAGGGACTCAGGCCAACATACTATCTAGATCATCTGTTTATTCAGTTTTTTACAAGTCTAAATCCTAGTTAATATCACTAAGATCCATAAGTTCAGAACTAATATTTTAAGTTCCAGTGTATTTGACTTGCAGAAAGATAAACCAAACAAAGGGATTATATTTAATTTTAGTTGATTTTCAA